GAGTTTTTACCCTAGGCATCCAGGTTTCTACAACAAACTCAAAATTTAATAACAACATTTTAAAATTTCACTTTGAAATTGCAAAACGGAATGCGTTAAAACCATGCAAACCTTTTAACGTTATCTGTTACATGGTAAATTGTACCGAATAAATGTTATTTAAATTTTATAAAATAATATACCTGCATGTGTGATTTAAAAATCCACCTCGAGTTATTCGAGTTATTACCATAGACATGCAGATTTTTGCAAAAAAATCAAAAGTGTGAAACAACATTTTGCAATTAAACTTTGAAACTGCAAAACCGAATGCTCTGAAATCTTGCGAACGTTTTACGGATATCATAAACATAATTTATCCGTACATCCCCTCAAAAATAGTTGATGACGTCCCAAAATTTTGTAAAGAAAACACTCACTAGAAAGATATGCATAAGATGCTTCTTTATCTTTACCTGTACTTTTACGATCCATGTATATACACGTAATTTCATCGGGGTTAAATGTGATAATTTTCCGAAACTGCATTTCTTCGACTGTACTTTAGGGGCGAGAGAAGTTCTGTCGAGATAACCTTCCACCATTTTTTGTGTGTGGGAGTAAGGATCACAAACTTTCTCAATGCAGTAATTTACAGCAGGCCGCTTCAGCCTATAATTTTATTCTTGCATATCATGACCGTACAGATGAAAAGTTTGAAAGTTTTATTCATCAACCGCAATATAACGTCGATACCATCTTTTTTTCGATAAAATAATTGGGTCCGTAGGGCCTTGCAGCACGAGTTTTTTTTTAAACGCTGCTGTCTCCATTACCGGATGATTCTTTTAAATCTTAAATTGTCCACTTTTTCTGAATTTTTAAAACCATCTAAAATTATAGCCGCTTCTATAGACGTGGATGTTTGTTCCCAATTTTTGAAACACCTATGTAACGAAACCTTCTTTTTAATGGCTTAGGAAATTTCATTCTATCCTGTAAAATTTTATTGACAATAACGAGACGGACAGTAGTACAGTCGAGGCCTTTAATAATGACCGCTTTCCGTGGCCATGGTGCTAGCTATGGACTCCCGAAATTACCCGAAAAAGCTGAATTTTGATAAATGCAGGTTTGTGTCTGCAGTTAAAAACCAACTTGCCTTTCTTAAACCGCTCGGGTACTTTCGGCAGTCCATTGCTAGGACCGGGAGGCGGTCATTATTAATGGCCTCCACTGTACAATGGTAAGAAATATTTATGGCTCACACCAGTTCATCCGAATTTGTCGGAGAACATTTACCAGGTTGTTGTACTGGTAAAATAATGGTCATTTTCCTTCGTGAGTAATAACGATGGTCCCTGTCCGGACCTGGATTATTCTGCTTTCTAACATCTGGGGATTACCGACACGCGACAACTTCAGTTGTAAATATCTCTTGCTATTGTACTACTGTCCGTCACGTTATTGCCAATAAAATTTTATAGGGTAGAATGAAATTTCCAAAACTATAATATAATACTCCTACGCAATTGTACGGTTCCACAACCTACAGGTAGAACACACTACGGTCACCTCATTTGCATACTTTTTCAACAAGGGTTTTAAATCCGTCTAATCCATAGACTGTAATCTCTCAATAGTGGCCAACCTCGGGCCAACCTTATCGTAAATCATACACTTTCTTGACTGGTTCTTGACGAAAGAAGATGTTTGGTTGCCTACATTTACAACAAATGCCCCTTTTAGGTCTTGCTTTAATCGAGAATAACTAAAAAATGGATAGTTTAACAAAAAAAATAATTTCAACTCCAGATGAGCAATAATATTATCTACACTGTCAGATTTTTTTTTAAGCCAAAATGCGTTATAGCTTTGGCTCGAAGAGAAAAATAAGTTTTTCTGTTTTTATTTTTTATTTAAAAAAATGAAAGCCTCTAATGCAATATAAAAACTATTTCCATGAAAATTTTCGTATTACGAACAAGTAGATATGTCGCACAAGTCTTCAAGTGCTATCGTAAGGATGATATTGGAAGTGGCGTTTTGCCGTATTTCGGCAGATTTTAATCACCGTAAGGAGGAGCCTTCAGGTAAAGAAGCCTGCTATGCGTAAATTTCAAGTGAGTTTTTCCGTGACATAATTTTATCATAATGTTATGAACATTTTAGGAACGGCACCTGTAACAAATTTGGATAGGTGAAGTGTAGGTAAAACTAATAATACATAACAGTACAGTATTTCGAAATTTTCTGCAAAGTGGAGTAAGCCTGCGGTGATTTGATATTATTAAAATAAATTGTCTCATTCATTAATTTTTTGGGTCAGCCTTTATAAGCAATTCTAAAAAACATGAATGCACAAAACATAAGTAGGTACTTATAGACCATGCTATAGACTCACAATATTTTGCCCATTTTAGATAGAATTTACTTTGCAAAATTTTGAGATTAAATAATCACGGACATTTACCATGCTTACGGTAACCTTAAAACGTCTGCAAGATTTCAGAACAGGCGGTTTCGTAGTTTCAAAATTAAATTGTAAAATGTCATTTTACAATTCCGGTTGGGACGGACGGTGACGGTCCGGAATCTCGCCGATAACGTGCGGTGGCGGCGTACCTGGGTGCCAAGCTTTGGGCCGACTAGTGCCGCTGATATAAGAAACACATCTGGCCGACCTAAGCTTATGCGGCGACCTTCACGCCGCCGGGGGTGGCGAATTCGGTCAGGAGCGGCGGTCGCTCGGGCGCCAGCTCCCTCTCCGACCCAAAAGGTACTTACGGAGGTCGGAGGGTCAAACTGCACACTTGGTCACACTTCTCAAAAGAAACTTCTCCACACCAGAGATTTCTTAGTAACCTAGATATGGCTATGGGCAGCAAAGTGTGGAAGAACATGTATGAAAATAGTGTCGACATACTTTCAGTTGTCTGTCTTTCTCTTACTCGTTGTAATGTGCACTACATACTAGTGTTATCTTCTTCTAATTCTAGCGACTGTTAACATTGGTTGATAATTTGGCGCACTGATTTAAAATAGTATAAAAGAGAATCATAACTCGAGTTTTTTAACAAGTGGCAAACGAAAAGTTTCTAAGCAATCTCCAAAATGATTTGTAATGTTAAGATGAAAATATTACACCGACAAGATCGTTGGAATAAATTTGACTGTCGACTTCCCTTTTTTCGTACTTTTTCTTTATCATTCACACCGGCGAAACTCTTGAAAAATGACATAATACAATTTTCTTATAGTCAAAAGTTTTTGTTGCCACGAACGTTTCTAACATAAATAGAGAATCGTATTGTATTTATTTGCATGCACAATGTTGAGAGCTTAAAACGAAAAAGAAAAAAGACGTACAGCTGTGGTATAAATTTATTAACATTATTATTAAATATTGGTGATTTAATGTAATCTTAGTTACTCATTATTAAATAAAATGTATTTTACTAATTTACTTCTTATTCTCGCCTGTTTTGAAGCAAAATTTACCAGTTTTGCTTCGTGATGCAAGCGGACTTTTAAATACATTTGCGCTATTGCCTTCATCAATTGTATTTTGTTGTTATCTAGTAATCCCTGAGAAATGCAATGATTGTTCATGTCGGGATTATTAAAAATCTTTGTAATATTTTTGCGAAACAAAATAATTATTAGATCTTTCTTTGCATACAACACACACTCTGTAACCCATTTGTAGAAATTCTATGCAATTTAAACTTATAACCGTGATATAAATCTTATAACCTAAGAAATCTCTTAGAACAAACTAACAAACACACAAGCACCGGCGATTGTATGAATTAAGAACCGACTTGCGCTAGCAGAATTTAAGGGTTTACTGCGCAAAATCGTAAATTGCTAGGTTTAAACAAAGACCTACAAAATCATACTCCTGCGTTCCCATGCTGTAAAAGAAGATGGAAAGCAAAACGCATAGTGTACATGTTGGCCAAGAACGTATGTTCGCTTTTGCATAGGATCACCGTATCTAGGTTACTAAGAAATCTCTGCTCCACACAGCCACAACACTTCTTCACTTTTCTGGTGCGGCGGCGCGGTGATCGCGGCTTTTCCCCCGGCTTTGTTACACCATTTTGTTTTTGTTTTTTTTTTTGTAAAAAATCTGGACGTATAGGGAACAAATCAAGACGGATTTGTTCCCTCCACATGTAGGAATATATGATTTTATAAAATTTAAATAATATTATCACATGATTGGTGGGGATGTATAGAAAAAGTTTGGTTAGCCTTTTACCATCTCCACAATATTCCTAACACACATATAAAATTTGACAATAATCAGTTCAGTAGTTTCGGAGATGTATATGGTAAAAATTGACATCGACGACGATGAACGGTAGACGGAAACGGGAGCTATTCGCCGGGTGGACAGTATTACAATGCATTAGAGCTTCATTAGTATTAAGTAATCATTTTGCATCATAATAACTATATTCTTCATTGATTATTATTTCAAGTTTTCTGTTTCTTAGCCGAAAATGTTAACATCTAGTTAATTATTGTATACATGCTTTTTCGCCAAAAAAAACTTCATTTACCTCGAGAAATCAAGCTGATTATGAACCTCTCGTTGAAATTTGGTTTATAACAAAGATTTGTAGTGTACTGCCTACTACAACTTGTAATAGAAGGGCCTATCGTGAATCCTGTCGTAGTCCAACAAAAAATATTGATAATGTATTGTATGTTGCCTAGACACAAACCCGAATTATACATCGAAATAACATTGTTTGAATGGTAAACTTCTCTAGCATTTTGTCGTAATTTTCGGACATTTCCATTTATAACAATCAAATTTACGGCGTGCAGAAATCCACGAAATTTTGTATGACAAACTTGTCATCCAAACATATTTGTATTTTTTGCTTCTACCGCATCATAAATCACGTAGATAAAAAAATCCAAACCAAATTTGTTCTACACCTCGCAAAACTAGCAAGTCAACCACATTTTAGGAACTACCATTTTATAATAATAAGAGACCCAAGTTCACTGCTTCAAAACCATTTATTAAAGTCGCCAATAAACAGTGTAAAATACAAGACAATACAAAAACTTTTAATAACAGTAAAATTTATAATAAAACAAATATTTTGTGCAAGAACCTTCAACTTCACAAAATTTATAAAATATACACTAGTAGAACATAGCTACAATCAAAATAAAAACAAAGCAATGTACAAATCTTATTCTAAAGAAACCCCAAATCACTAGCATAACTCATTAAAAATAAATCACACTAAACTACTTTTTAAGCATTATCTTAAACAAATTCTGTCGAAAATTGTTAACCATTCGTTCGAATTCTTTAACTTGTGCTTTGAGTTTGACATTTTTCTCATACAACTCCTCAGCCTCTTTTTGAAGTGTCATTTCTTTCATCTTTCTCTTCAATCTTGACTTTCTTGATGCTTCATTATTCTTATCACGCAGTTCTCTGTACTTTGTAGCATCTGAATGATCAGAGGAGATGGATGAAGTGCGCCTTGGTGGTCTACCCCTCTTGCTGCGTGGTAGTTCGTCTTCACTTTCAGAATCTGATGAAACAACTGACTCTTTCTTACTGGATGTTGGTCTCTTGGTGGGTGGTACATAGTCCTCGTCGTCATCATCATCGTCGTCGTAACGTTTAGACCTCCTTTTACGGAGTTTGGTTGGTGCTATTGCGTCAATTTGATCAATATTCAATCCCCTGGATGTTGATGGATTTTCAAAATGGATATCCTCTATGTTTACAGTTGTTACATCCTGTAGCAAAAAACGGCCATTTACATTTTATATATTATTTACAATGAACTCACCTTTTCATTGACATAGTCAAAAATATTAAAGTTCGTTTCCAAATCGACTACAGAATCAATGACATCTGGAGTATTCAAAGCCATTGCTTGATTAAATCCTAAATTAAGTTTAAGTTTGGGAACCTTTTTGACTGGTGACTCAGATGGTGCGCAGCTACTGTTGCTATCTTCTGGTGTTTCGATTCCCAAATTTGTCCTATAGTGTTCATTATTACTTGGCGACATGTTGGAAAGTTGTGCCTCGATGTTATTTATATTGGTATTCACGGAATACTCGTTGGAGGGCGAAGAAACGTTCGAATATTGATTCTCGTTACTGTTTACACTTACAACACTATTAGTATCTTCAATTTTAAATATAGATGCACTAAATTGATCTTCACTTTGCACATGTATTGGGGTTTCATTTCCATTAATTATGTATATATTTCCCTGATCTGATTCAGATGTTGTAAATAGCAGATTAGCCTCAGAACCTTGTATGATATTAACTACTTCACTATTGTTGGTATCTTGCAGCTGAACGTTCACATTGTTCGAATAAACTGAAAAGTCATTGAGTTGTTTGTTTGAAAGTACACTATTACCCGATCGAATTGTGTCGTATTCAAACTTAAAAGGATCTGCGGCTGATGTTGATTCTATGAAAGTATTTTCATATACCATAAAATTAAACGGTCCTTTTCTATCTGTAATTAAAAAAATTCAAACTTATTACACGATTCTCCATCATCAATTAAAAGAACTCACCGAAAATCGGCGTATTAAGTTCATCTGTAGAATTTGTCATTGCCTTTTGGGTGTCCTCGGGTAGGAATGGCGCAAGATCGCTGAATTCCTCCATTTCGAGCTTGATTTGTCTTCCAAATGAGTTTGCCTCTTCCTGTACGACGGACTTCACAACGGAACCACCTATCGGGTTCACGTCGTAAGGATTGACACAGGGGAGTACTGAAGCTTCCATGTCGGATAAGTCCAAATTTGTTGTATCCAAATTTAATATTGGGCTTAGTTGTGTAGATTTCTCGCCATGATGGGCAGGTGGCTGATAAAACAGCAGCGGATTCCATTTTGACAGGGACTGCAAAGGCAAATTCAACATAAACACGAGGAACCCTCAACACTTTGCAGAAATGTGCTCGACGTCTTGCCCCGCCAGCTTATCGCAACTCAATGACATGAATCAGCGGAGCGTCGTTTTGATAAAGAGTGGGACGGTTCGCGTTCAAACGTGTTCTAACATGTTATGTTGGTACCTGATGCTCTCAGTCACAAGGTATTTGGGAAATACGCGAACTTCTCAACAATCCATCCTTATCAAACGCATTTTATGACCAGATAGTAAGAAGAATTCACTTACATTAAATTCGCCTTGTCCTTTTTTAAAAATGTTGACTCTTGTAGGGCCTCACCAATAGAAGAGTTGAGTGTTTGAAACGCTCAACCTGAAAAAGAATTGTTTTATAAGACAACTGTTTACTTCGGATTTTTGTAAATGTATACATGCATGTAATCCAAGTATAGGTTTTGAAAAAAAATAAATAAATAAATAAAAAATTAGTCTCATCTGAACTACGAAATTATTTGCAGTTTTAAAATAATAATAACACTTCTTTTCCATTTGTTTTAGTTTCTAATTATTATCACTTGAATAACAAATAAGTTACCTTAACAATATTTTGAATAAATACAATAAAATTTATTTTTAATAACGTGCATCCCTTTGTTAAACAATTTTTGTTAAATGGGTGAACGTATTCCTTTCGCTATGAGTGTTGTTAAAAAACACCTTCAATTTGCTTCAAAACTCACGTAAAAAAAAAATCTTGAATTTATTACGCCAAAACTTTCAAATAAAAATTTCGTATCGCTGTTTTAAAGTTAAAGTTAAAATATTCTTAATTACTGCTGCCCTATTATTCGGTTATCCTGTTGGACAATAAAGGATTTATTTATTTATTAAACAATGTTATAATTATAAACGAAGTTACCACACATGCAGTCTCAGTTAAAAAATGGAAGTTGTTTTTACTGACGTAGGACTAAAAATATAAAAAGTCGAACGTTTTCTCAGATTCTATTTAGCTTACACTATCGTTTTTTGGATAGTGTTCCTCGCATATTAATTACATTTTAACAATTATAAATCATTATTATAAACGATAAAAAAAATATAATATCACAAAGCTTATGTACGTATTTCTTTAAAAACATAATAATAATAATAATAATAATAATGTTTATTCACCACTCAAAAACAGATCACTTAATAAGTATTCGACTTCAATATTAACACAAAGAAAATTAAATTGTATTCCTGTTCATGAACAAAAAAAAGCCCGCACGATGAAATTTCCTCTTTATAGATATATCTTCAAAACCTTCCAAATTCTTTGTGACGACTCGAATTTCAATAATTCCAAAGTCCATTAATTTATGTGAAGTACAAAAATAGCACACATTTAACGTAACAATTAAACTTAACTAAAAAAAATAATCCAGATGATTATCAAACAATTTCGACGAGATAATACTGAAATAATCGCCCGGCAACAAATAAAAATTATCTTGTTTTGCAACGCGATTCCACGAAAAGCGCGAGGCCACATGACGTCACACCGACAAGTCTCTACACGTTTCAGCCTGAAGGTCACGCACAATGTACCTTAATACAGATCAATACGTTTGTTTACATCAACAGTTTAACCAATTTTGAAAATAAGCCTGTAAGGAAGTCATAAAACCCAAATTTGTCCCCACGCCCCCGTTTGACTAAAGAAAAATCAAATAAGAATACTAAAAAATCTTACTCTACGCTTTTGTCGCTCTTTCGCACCGCCTTCTGTCGTTGACTTTCCGCTCGGAAAAAAAATTGATGTCCGAAAGAATTTCTTTGGAAAAAACTAAGCGACAAATGCAGTTAATTCGCCTTTGTGCACAGTTGATAATTAATGAACACTCTCTAGCTCCCGAAAAACACGTCTACTCTTCTCAAACGTCACTAAAACTCTGACGAAAATGGCGGACGCCAGTGAACTTTAGCTGGGATTCACGCTTTCTCTGTCCTTGTTACTCTTACAGGGTTTCGCATTTGAGGTCGAATGCTCGAATTTCATTTGCTAAACTGACGTCATGTTAAGCCAATGAAAAGATTCGGTGTCACGAGACTTTCCAATGAATCATCCTTACGAAGCACTTTGCGGGCTGTTTTTTCCCGATTCCAAGAAATTCAAATTATGTCGGCGATTATATAAAGTGATTCGCTTCCAAAGGACATTTTATAACAAAGCCGTTATTTAATTTCTTACATAATGAAAATTAACAAAAGTTGTGCAATCATTTTTCCACCAAATTACTGTATGCCAACACAACTGATAGGGAAATCAGTCACAAAAACACGAATTAATTACCAAATTTAATTAAAAATAACAGAAAAAACAGAAAAGGTGCAAATGACACTTACATTTCCATTGTGGGCATTGTTCTCGTACAGTGATTGACTCTAACACACTTTCTTTTAATGACCCAGAAAAAGATATTGTCTGAAGATTTGGAATTTCCCGTTGAGCAGATTTTAGAAATTTGCATAGCCAACTTATCGGACACGGGCATATTACGTGGGACAGCCAAAAAAAAAAAATTTAATGGGCACAAATTTTTCAGGTAACAGAAAAAAGTTGGTCAAATTTTGGGAATTATCTCTTTATCTCGTTCGTGATATAGATAAAACGAGCACAATTTTCTTTGAAGTTTTACAGAAGTCAAACGAACTGTAAATTCAATAAGTGCCTTCAAAGATTAAGTCACTTTACTTTAGGGGGTGTTATAATCACCAAAACACTGAGTTAACTTTGCGAACTTGTGTTAGGAAGATGCCGAGAAGTTGCACTCACGTGAATTCGGTGATAAAAGTGGGGAAGCTGTTCGCACTTTCTCATTGGTTGCTGGTAGCGATATGTCCACATAGCCTAGTAGCTAGCGAATCGCTAAAAAGCTGATGCAATCCCAGAAAAACAAAGGCTCATCTTCGCCATGGTTCGAAGTTGAAATAATACGGAATAAAATGAATTAATTCTGCAAGTTCACCGACCGACGAAAACCGGATACTACATTCCAGTATTTTCATAAATTGTATTATTTATATCGACTTTTCATCATCTTTGGGGGAATATTTGGTCCATCACAATATTGTGCAATTATTACTGAGATATAAAAAATATCTATTCTAAAAATGTAACATTCCACATGAAACCTTATAAACTACCTATTAGCGTTAATTTAGATTAAACCTTTTTCTAATTTTTGAGATATCAGACAAAAGTAATTTTATCTTTGCCTGGAAATATGTTTCCGAGCAGATATTTTTTACCTTTTATTGTTTTACGTACATGTTTGATTAAATTAACCAAACAAATAACTGCTAGAAAGTGAGGACTTGACGTCACAAAACTGGCGGTAATACCTACATATGTAGGTACTTCCTGTTTTAAGAGATAAACGAAGTTTGCTCTTTTATTTTAAGTGATAGGTAGATACTATTACTTTTTGTACTTGGTTGTGAAAAGTTTGTTGCTTACTCAGTACAGCTAGTTATGTTATTATTTACATAACAAAAAATTTGGAAAAACATTTTTCAATAATAGTTAAAACAACCGTAACTTTAAAAACGTAACCGAAGTGATCATTCTAACTTCTTAGCCATCTCTTAACAAACATACACTACGGAAGTATTGTAAAGTGTACTATGTACTTAGTTAACGTGGCAATACAGTTTTAATCATTATCGAAAAGAAATTGGAATCTGTAATGTATTGTCAATTTTCTTAGATAACCATGGTGTCTGAAATAAGTTTGGTTCTATTATTGTATCTAGTAATATTTATTCTTACAAAAAACAACAGGGTCATTAGATTTAAAATACGAAATACGTTTTCATTTCTAGCGAAACGGGAAGTGGTATAGAATAGATAGATATGTCTATAATTGGATATTCTTGGTAAATATAGGATTTATTTTTCAGATTCTCTGGCAAATATTAAAAACTGGCTGGCATATGATGTCAAAAAATAAATAAATCGATGTTATATCTTATCAAGATTACCTTAGTTATACCTACCGCATCTAACGTTTACGAAAATACAGTAATGTAATATTTGTGTAAACTACGATCATGTAGCTATTTATTTGTTGATGTTATATAGATCATTTTCAAGAATAGGAATCACCCTAAATAACTCATCTGTTCTGTTATTTTGAGAAAAATCCAAAGGCAAACGAATTTTAATTTTGAGGACGACACATTTTGAGGTCCGACTCAATTTCATTAAGTTGTCCCTTTGCCCCCATCAGCTTTTCACTCAATTCTCTTAAATGACGAGAGAGGGATCGATGGTTTTGATGGTTTATATCTTGAACTGCATACATTATTTTAAAGTCTATTATCATTTGTTAAAAAACATCGATAATTATTTTATTCTATAAGATACAAAATATAAACTGTCGTGTATTGATAATGTTAAAATAATATTATTAACTGTTTATTACTTGTTTTTACTTTTTTAATATGTAGGCAGACCTTCTTACAGCAAGGATTTACTTTTGCATAGTATTCAGGCTTTATAAATAAGTTTAGCTTTAATGTTATGATAATCTCTGAATAAATACAAAGGAAGGTTCAACCACGATACCTGTCATTCTCATGCTACTGTCTGGTCACCTTAAGTGAGTAGTTGACACAACTTAAACAGAAACTTTGGAAGAAAAGAATCATTTGAGAGTGACAGCCAGGAGACAACGCCGGTAACTTTGCCCATTGCATGGAAACCAATGAAGCTTATTTTGAAAACCTCCAAGTAAGTACAGTTAAAGTCAACTAATTAGTATTATTACTTTATTAAAACAAGCTAGAAATATTTGTCAAGTAACTAATGACAAATTAGTTAACGGTTAAAGGGAAGTACGGTTAGGTATCATTAAAACCATAAAACACACGTTGGGAACATGTTTTAACAGTGCACGCAGCAATGGAAGAAAATTGAGGAAAAATCCCAAATAGTTCAAAAAATACTTTTCAATTATGGGGTCACTTAACCCTCCCCTTGCCATTCCAAATTCTTGAGGTACAAGTTTGAGGGTCAGTGGGCAATACCTACAACAACGTAAAATTTGACAACAAAATATGTTCAGTAAAAATAGTTTGTTTCTGAATTTTCTTCTTCAAAATTGAACAAGAATTGGGTTATTTAGAGTGGCTACCTTTTATTGAAATGTCCTGTACGTATTTATGAACTAAAAAAACTTACGTCACCTCAAAAAATTAATCCATAAATTTTAGAACAAATAAATTATAGTAACCTAAACATCCCACCCAAATAAAGCATGTGCACAAAATTTTAAAACGTCGAAAAATTTAAAACTTTGCCTTGACAACAGAACCTTGTGTGTGTTTTCTTTTGCAGAATGAGTTGAAATGGGAAGTGAAGATTTCTGCATTCCTCCATTTTCGAGAAGGAAAAACTGTGCAATAAGCTGTGGTGTCCCAATTTGCATTACAAGTTCGCGCTGAAGAAAAAAAACAACGGCGTGAAATCGCAGTTGAATAATTTGAATCTGAAAAATAAATTAAGAAAATCGTTAAACATAGGCCGCCATGTGCACCGTGCAACTTTAGTTTATTCTTGTTATTAGTTTTGGTGGCTCGTCTAGAGAATTTGTAGGTAGTAATAAGTTGGTGAGGGGGTTGGTAGTAAAGCAGACTCGTTTAAATTTAGATGCGCCACTTGTTGTTTGTCTTGTGTAGGTACAACTACGTGATAAGTATTAACGTTACCTATGGTTTGGTCTGGTAGTTTCATAAAATAGCGTTTGTTTAAACGAAACTTAAATGTACCGACGGCGACGCCATAGTTTTGTCCACAAACTAATTAACATTATACAGCAAAAGAAAATTACTGAGGTTAAAATTGTGAGATTAGAGAAATATTGTATGAGGTGAAAATTTGAAAAGTTAACAAAATTTACATGAAATTAATATTTGCCACACTTTATCGACGATTCAAACAAAAACTTTATATTATGTCAAATTATATCATGATCTAAGTGATTGGTTACTTAAAAAAAAGCAATTTACTTTGAGAGTTTAGAATACCGCGAACTGGTTACCCCAACAAAACACTTAATGAACAAACACAAAAATATCCAATCATCGTTGCGAGGAAAAAGCGTCTCGGTGATTTAATATTATTGTTGCGAGGGAATACCTCGATGATGCATATTTTAGCGTTGCGAGAAATAAGCCTCGATGAAGTAATCTATCTGTAGCGTTGTGAGGACAAGCCTCGATGATGTAGTCAATCTTTAGCGTTGTGAGGACATGCCTCAGTGATGTGATCATGATAACGATGATAACCGCCTAAGGGAAGAAATTATTTTAACCCCCCGCCAGTTCGCAGTATGAATTTTGTTAAGTTAACTGCCGGAAATGAACTATTAGCAATCTTGTGTGAAGAATTAAGAAGTGTTATAATGTAACACTTACATATATGCATCCAGAAACTTATTCGTAGTTTGTTAAACAGAGAATTATTATCCTGATTAAATGCGAATTGCTTTTTTCTTGGCCAAAATCGTCAATTACTCTACCAACAGATGTTTCTTCGGCATTAACTCTCTCTCTCTCTCTTTCTCAAATACTACTGTCAAGGTTTTTTATTTTTACAAAATACTGCTAATTTTGGATTTCGTCTGATAAATTGTCAGTGAAGTAAAATTCGCCCAACCCTTTAAAGCAACTTGGTTTTAAGTTACGTATATTCTTTGGATGTAAAGAAAATAATGAGTATGACGACACTTTTGTTTCGGAAAATCGTGTTGTTAAGGAAAGAATTAAATGATACAGGTATGGAATAAAAGTGCCTATTTTAAAATAATTTTCCATGCTTTCTGTGCTGTGGTTCGCACGCCCACTGGTGAAACAGTTCTGAAGCAACTGAAATTTCCACTCGAAGTCGATGGCTACTCTGAAAAACCGCCATCACTTGTAATAAATACCACCACTCATTTTATACTTCTTCATAGCTGAAGTATCATCATCAGTATTTGTAATTTTTCTCTTGAACAAATTTCGAATATCCATATTTCTGTTTCTAAATAAAATAATAAATATTATAGTCAATAAAACGCCGGTTCAACAACTGTTCGTCTTTACACGTCACTTCGCCATAGATAAAAAGTGAAAACGAAATAAATTTTTGGGCATAAGCAATAAAATGTTTGCTCTTGTAATAACTGTAAAAAAAATAACGAAACAACCCATAATTCAGTACCGGTTAAAAAGGATAGATTTATGATGGTTTTAGGCAAATCTGGGCCAAACAGAGGGTTTAAGTTTGTCACATTTCTGTGTTTGTGTGGCAATAAAACTGAAAGTGTAGGGCATGTACCTACTCTTACAGATGTGCTGAAGTTATTATACATTTTATTTTCTTGTGTGACACCGAAAAAATAAACAACTTTTTACAAATGGGAAGTAGGATATTTTATATTTTAAATTGTGAAATGTCGAAGGAGATGGATGGTTTTGCCTAACTTAAATGTTATTTAAATTTAATAGATTCTCATTTGGGAATTTTAAAGTAGTAATTAGCAGTATTCTCGAATTTAATAAATTTAAACATTGATTCTTTGATGATGAAACTGGAAATGCCAAATAAATTTTATAATGTCCATAAATAACCTTTTTTCGTAGATTCTTTAGGCCATAATGTATTTGATATATCTATACAAGTTAATGTATTAATGTTAAAACAATTCGATTATTGAAACAACATAAAACACTAATACACTTGGCTCGATAAATAAGCTATGCCTAAAAAGAAGTAGGTAATTTATTGTCTTCCGCTCATACATTTTTTAAATGAAATGTGTGTGTATGAACGTGTAATTAATTACCGACTTCCGAAATGGATTGTTAGCATTAGCGTTTTCAGTGGCGACTAAATATATTTTACTATTATTTATTTACGAAATAAGATCTAATATAGAAAAGAACAGGAACGTAACCAAATATAAATTTGGGGTATAGAAAAGTAAAGCAAATAAACAAACAAATTAATAAAACAAAACTTAGAATTTAGAAAGTTCAACAAAGAGTTCATTTTCGTGGGCGAACATTAGGATATTGCTAGTTCCCAACGCAGGAATAGGGTGGATGAAAATAATAGGAAGTAATGCACCGAGATTACTACCTTGTGGGACTCCTATTTTCACTAAATACTCCCGTGAATGAAGTCCGTTGACGTATTGTGTGCGACCTGAAAGATGTTCACCAAACCAGGGCAGTAGGGTGCTGCAAGAACTTGTAGCAACCCAGCAACCATCTTGTGCAACATTTGATGCTTAATGAAATCAAAAGCTTTACACATGTCTAGCTATACAGTTTTAAATCTACTTGCCCATTTTTATCAAGAACACGACAGATAAACTGAGTCATTAGTTATCGTAGATCTGCCCTTTACAAAGCCATGCGGTATGAGATAAATGGTGTTTTTTAGCTAGAAATATAACTTATTGTAGATGACGATTACTGCTAGCTAATTCTTAATCAGTTTTAACAAGTGCTGTCTGCAATAACCAGCGTTATTGAAAATTTGCATTCCAATTCTAGAACTAGCATCATCTACCTACAGATGTCTTTTGAAATGATTTGATTGCTTAATGCGTATTTAAACAAGAATTTTAAATTGTCATTAGATATTTATTATAATCACCTGAATTTATGATAAATCTACAAAACATGGAATATATATTTTCAATATAAACTCTTGTATGTTGCAAAAATTAGAATATTTTAACAATGCCACTTTTCTTGATCTAAGTACACATATAAATTATTACAAATCAAACTAAACTGTGGTCTGCTAATGAATGTGTTCACATGAAAAATGAAAACTTTTTATTGAAAATACTGAAATTATAATGCTTTTATCACCAATACTGGTTACAGTAACTTGAAACTGATTTGCAAACTGGAATGTATGAGTAGCTACAAGATAAGAAAAGTATTAGATTTATATAATGAATATTACTCTATTGAGATCATCCTCAATTTCTGTGGCTTAAATATTAAATATGAATAAAAAAATAGTTTTTGCATGTGACAATATATAAAATACCAAAACAATTAATTCTCCTATGACTGAATCAAAATTTCTTATATTTAAGCCAGTTAACTTTACTTAATTTATTAATTTACTAGAAACACTGACCTTCGCAAGTTATTAAATAAGTGACAAGGGTAAAATTCACAGCACTTTTCTTAAATACTAAAAAAAAAAACACTGTCAATGAAAAACAATAGTTACTCAATAACAGTAAAAAGACTACATTGCTTGATAAGTAGAGATACAAATATACAATCAAATTAAAACAATTACACACCTCATTTATGAAATAAATTGCTGGATCAGTGCTTGAACATTTACTATTGGATTACAGAATTTGAAATAACTGTTCAATATAACACGGTTGTCCTACTGTATATACAAACTAGAGTTACCGCAACCTGTAATATTTACGAATTTAAAACTTTTATCGTTTTTAAAAACTCGCAAATATTATGTATTGTAGGTTAAATTCCTACAGCTTTGTGGATAAAATATTAATACTTATCCAATGTACATATTACAAAGTCATGATATGACAAATGAGATTCAATTCTATTTTGTGTACAAAACCACAAATTTATAAACCGTATAAATGTAAAATTTTGTTTTTTGTAGTCCGTACTACAAAATTTCACTCCACTTTGTCACAGCTCTATTTTTTTATAATCATATAATATTCTGCATCATGGCAGTGTACTTAATACAAACTGTAGATATTTGATAGGTATATTGTCGCTTGTGTATATTTTGTATATTGCATATCAAAATAAAAGTTTCAAAAACAAATTTAAGACTTAAACTATCGCAATATAAAGAACAAAATATGTTGACAGAATATGTATACTCAAAAATATAAATTAATACCAACAGAAACCACAGTTAATATAAATATGTACAAAAATATATATATAAAAAATATTAACAAAACCATATAAAATTCTACTAAAAATCTAAATTAAAGCCAGAGTCACTGTCAAATGAGTTTAACAACTCCTGGTCTGTAAATGCTGTTGTATCTGTTGTCGGAAGATTATCTAAGAATTCGAGACCAATAAAATCTGTATTTTGCGAATTAAAACTGTTCAAAGAATTGTTTTGGTTGCTTGTCGTATTATTTACAAGTTGATTGTTCATATTTTGTTGCTGTAACGATTGATTGGTCACTGTCATTGACTGCGATTGTTGCATGTGAATACTTGATATATTTGATATGGACATCTGAAATAAATATATATCCATTAATTTCATTCAACAAATTGTGTGTTCGCAATACATTACCTGAGAATTTTGTTGTTGCATCATATTTTGCTGTTGCATATGATTTAACATTTGATTCATGTTGTTCATTTGTGACATCGGACTGCCACCCTGACTCATTACTTGAGCCTGACTTATCCCTTGCTGATTCCTAAGTTGTGGATGTTGAGCAGACAATTGCATACCTCCAGCATTCATGTTAAAAGCTAAAAATTTCAATGTTTGTGTTAACACGAAAATTTAATGTGAATTAGCATTTTTGCTAACAAGAAACATAAAATGCACCAACCAATAAAAGTACAGCAAATGCAAAAATTTTATTTGTGAAAATTTTTATAAAATACGAATCAAATGGTGGTACAGTCATGATAATTGACGTCACTGTGCAATTTAAGTTAAATGCGAAAATACTAAATCAATTGTTGGCTTGTTGATAAATAATTACAGAAATCTTGTAAAAACGGGAACAGTAGTCACGGGAGCTGCTTACATGTTTTTTACTGAGATAGTAATACTATTATCTTAATGTGTAGATTATATATTACAAGCCACAGTTAATCAGTTGCTGGGCACGGAACCAACATCCAATCACTGACTCGTCCTTTATAACTTTCCACACTGTGTGAAAGAAAATTATTTTTGTGAAAATGAATGTTACAATGTTATTTAGAAATTTACATTAATTACTAATATATGTTTGCAGTAAATGTCAATACTTTTTTTAGAGGCGTATTTTCTTTTTTTTTTTTGATAAATGTATATTTAGTATTAAATACCTTGCTGCATATTTGGCCTCATTTGTGGACTAAAGTTACTATTTTGTTGTTGCATAAGAAGATGACGCCATTCAGTACTGCCATGTTGCATGGCTTCCATGCCACTAACTGGACCTTGTTGACGTGGATATATATTTCTGTTCATCATATGTTGTTGCTGCTGTTGTTGTTGCATTATATACATATTATGTGGACGAATCATCGGACCTAATTAAAAAAAATTAAAAAAAAGATTAAAATACTGAATTCTTGAGTATTTAATTTGTGGATATTAATTAAGACAATTATAACACTTCGTATGTGAAGAATTGAAACGTTTTTCGGTTTCATCCAGATAAAAGTGATCATTAAAATGTTTAATTTTTTCCCTACCTGAAGGTGGCATCGGTTGATGAGGCATTCTTCGAATGTTGGGTGGTGCTCCCGTAAACCTAGGTTGCACACCTTGCATTAATCCAGCAGCACTGCTTTTGTAATCTGGAGGTGGCGGCCTGACCATGTGCTGCTGTAACGCAGCTGCCTGTTGTGCTCTCAACATTTGCTGTTGCTGTAGGAGTTTCTGTTGCTCTAAAGTTTGAGTATTCATCATACGTGGTCCCATTCCACCTTGAGTTCCCATAGGTCCTGGTCCCATTGGTCCGTTTGGTCCCATATTATTTGGTACAACTACGAAAGAATATTGATAACAATGCACTGAGAATCTATCTTCATTTATTACCATTAGGTCCACTAGCACGCTGCCTTAAACTCTGTTGCGTAAAATTAATTGTCTGAGTTTGAGACATAGAATAGCTATCCGCCATCTGACCAGAAAGATTTCCACCCATTCCACCAGGATGCTGCATTCCGGACGGGCCACCCATTATACCGCCCATTGCACCTTAAATGTTAATAATATTATCAAACTCTTCGTTACATCTTTTATCTACCACATATTCTGATTGTGATGTTGCATTTTCGCTGAGTTTCTTATTAATTTTATAAAAACCAATTACTCTATAGCCTCTTTTTTAATTAAAAATCCAACACCTCAGTTACTCGCAAAATACACGTCGTAACGCTACATGAGAAAGTTAGATTAAAGTTTGTAAACGATAAAGACGTTGTAATTTAGTCTTACACTTAACATCGCTCCAAATTAACTCTTAATAGGTACATACAAAAGCAACTTTACAAATTTTTGTATGATTAGATTGAATTTAAGCAGGTTTTTTTTGATGCCCCGCCTCAGTTTACAATCAAAGTGTCATTTTATTTAGTTTATGATTATAATATTATAATTATTTATAATTCAACAAATGGAGAATCTTAAATAAGTAAAAAACTTGTACCTATTTTCTACCTCCGTATAAAGATATGTCTTATTTTTTATGGTTACTAGAAAAACGCTTAGGATTTTTTAACATAAAAATTACAGAGTGTTTTACACGGTCTATATTGCACATCATTTCTACGTAGAAAACCTTACACTTGATTTATTTGGTAAATCAAAAAACACGTTATGCAGAAGTTATGTCTTAATTTTAAATGGTTTTTCTATTAATTAAGGTGAACAATCGTTCCATAAATAATAATTATATTATGTTGCTTGAACAGAATCTGACCACAAATTATTCCATGAATTTTAAGCAAGCAAGCGTGGCTTTGGTTTTTTTTTTATTTCAGGTCTAGACTTGCCAAAATTGGTCTTACAATTGTGAAAAAGAGTATTTTTGGAAAAACGTGAATTTCTAAAAAATACTTAATAAATGTGTAAATGTGCCAAATACTTTGAGAACAAAAAAAAAGTTATACTGAAAACTTGTTTTTTTCCTATTTTTAAAATATTCTGTAAAGAATGACGCTCGTTTATAGATTATTATTATTTAGACCACTATTGTACCAACAAAAAGTAATTTGACTTAACTGTTTATAGATTACAGCAAAGTAGTCAGCAAAAATTGAAATTATTCACGAGTAAAATGCATATCGATTGCAATTGCAAACAATTACATGGAATATTCTCTATTCAGCATTTGCAAGTTTAGGACAGTTACCTTCAAATTAAAAGAGGTAACAAAAATAATTACAGCCACATTTTCTAAAAACGTGCTCATCGCATATCTTGCTGATTTACCAACAAAAGTTACGCCACCAACACTGCGGGGGCTTTGTTCACTGTCAAAGACAACTTTAATATTTTAAATGTACTTTGATATTGAAAACCCGCTAAACTTATTTACATCATATTTGAAAAGAAATCTTGGATGTTAGTCCACAAAGTAAAAACTCAAGAACAAATGAAATGATTCCTTTCTAAAACAGATGAGAAATAAGAAAGCCAATGTTAATTGGTAGTTAAATTCTTGTCTAATTCGTGCAATCTTTTTAGATTGCTCTCAATTTTCGCATAGCAGCAAATTTTCAAAAACAAAGTTTAAATACATTGGTGATTTAAAAACCGCAATACTAACAAAGGTATCTGATAAAAAAAAAACACAAATCCTTGCAGTTGCAGATGACGATTACTCCACATTGTACGGAAAATACAATTTTATTAAGTACCTACTGAAATTGAACATGTCACAGACAAGGTATAGGCATGTTTAATTTATCAAAAAGTAGCTAATTACTACACTGGTCATTGTTTACGACGAACATCAGTTACATTACTGGATAGTGCAAGCGCTGCAAGTCTTAAACAGGCATGATGATGAATCAGTCAAAATATGTCAAAAAAAAAACATCTTGAGTTTGTAGCTAGTATTAGCGTCTCAAATACATATTAGAGTAAAAAATAAATCACTCTTGAAGTCTTTAAATTCAGTTCTCCAAATTTAAACATAACTTTAAACCTGTGAACTTTACAGGCCATAAAAGACTCTTTTATGTTGAATTTATAAATAAAAAAATAACATCAGTTATTCGTAGAACAAATTTTTGTCATTTTTCGATGATCATACCTTAATTATACAACACAATTTTTTTTAAAGAAATATTTAAAGCAGGGATTTTGTTACGATTTTTGGTGTATATTTACCTTGTAAATTTCCAGGACCTGGACCCGAAAGGTTTGCTGGCCCTTGCATGCCTCCAATGGGTCCCCCTTGTGAATTAGGCATTTGCTGACCGCCGGACATCATGGGACTTCCCAAATGTGGTCCGCTGTTTTGATTTTGTGATGCCTGCTGAGAATTATTTGTGTGCATCTGAGCATTTTGTTGCTGGTTTGATGACAACGGACTTTGTTGTGGGACGTTTTGTGTGTTCTGGGATTGAGAGGACGTGCCGTTCGTGGACGTATGCTGATTAAAGTGCATTCCTTGTTGTGCAGCTATGGAAACATTGCCTTTCAAGTCGCCGCTTAAATGGAGGTGTTGTCCAGCTGATACCTAACACAACATTACATTATTTGTAGTTGTAAAATGAAAATAAGTAGTATTTAAAATGTACACGATAATGTACACAGATTCTTGGAATATATGTGAAATTAACTAGTATGTGAACATGGCAAATGTTTTGCTTGACTGTCGTTTAAACTGTTTTGCACAAACATGCTAATATCTATAGTTTATTTAAAAAGACCCTATAAAATTAATTGCATAGAACTTCCCTCTGTTCTAAAGAACAATAATTAAACATTAGACATATTTTTTGATTTGTTGAGACAAATTATAGAAACACTTCTAAAAACTAAAAACGTATTTGTATAATGACGTAAATCAACTTGATATTTAATTTTGGAAACCTACATTTTTGTATTTGGTGAGCTGTGAAACATGGGTGAAAAATACACCACTGCAAGAGTTACTGCTAATAAGTAAAATAGTTTTTTCGAAAGGTTTGGAATTCTTTTTGGGATTTTTTTGTTATCTATTAAAATTTATTATCAGCAGTTCGACACTAGACTGATCTACCTAAATATAAATTTAGTGCTTGACATTTAAGAAAATTACGACGATACGTTAAAAATGTCTACAAATACAAACTACGCTTATATTTTGAAAAATCAAAATTAACTTGTTTCCAAATAAATTTATTCATCCATTCCTCCGACGCGCTTTAAAGAGGCATTAAATAAAACCTTGGTTCGGTGGTATAATGGACACTGGAATGACGACGAGGCTGTAATTTGTTTAAATTTGTATCTCTATTTTACGTCGCGATGACATTGACATAAATAACGTTAAATCATTATTCACTACGTAGCACGAAGTGTAAACAATTTCTTTACAGTCTCGAAGTAAATTATGTAAAAAAGTTAACTGCTACGCAATCAATTTTGATTTATATATCAGAAGGGTTTTATTGGCATTTTGTGAACGGAATAAGATGAAGTAACAACTTTGTACCTACAACAAAAGAAAAGACGAAAGTTGACAACCTATGCTGGAAAATTCTTAGGGGGAGATTCTCGAAACTTGATAAGGCCTTGCAAGGATTTGCAAATTCAAAACCATAGCAACATGTATTGTTGTTGCATTGTATTTGGAGTTTCGATAGCGATTTTCAACTTATCGGAGTTTCCAGAATCTCCCCCTTACTATTTAAAAGATTTTTTCCAACTTACTTAAAACTTTGCTATGCAACAGGTTTTAAACTTAATTTACTCAGCGAGGAGGTAATAATCTTAAAAGAAAAGTGTCATTAAAAATTTATACGTATACGTATAATAAGAGCAATCTGTGTATAGGAAAATATTTTTTTAACTTTTCTTGTTGAAAAAATTGCTGCAAGTCTTGTTTTTAGTACGTTTTCAATGATTTACAAATTATGGCGTACTGGTGATCAGCAAAACACTGCCATGAAGTGATCGACACAATTTTCACTAATTTAAAAACCACATTATTAACATCATTCTACCTGTGGTTAGGCCATAACTGAAAAAAGTTCCTCAAAATTAGAGCTTAATATGTATCTTTGAAATGATGAATAAATAATAATTAATTCTAATTACCTGCACGAGAAAAGAAAAAAAAGTCTACTTAATTGTGGAAGTTTGCATAATTTCTTCTACCAAAAATATGCACTACTACAATTTTATATTCTTGTACATATTTCATTTCGACTACAATGTATATTTATTTACATGACTGTGACTACGAACAGGACATACGTTGCGCGATACACAGTCTACTTTAAACGTAAAATGTTTTCTAGTCGCGTTATAAATCGAAATGTCGTGAGTAAAATAGCTGAATGTTGTAGTAGCCGAAACACTACATATTTCAAATCATTTTGACGAAGTTTGTTTCTAAAATTAATTCGTGGAAGAATAAAATATTTTTTGTAACATTTCGAAAATGTCGAAAAACAAATCAAAAAATTTCCTTATGAAATACGAATAATTTTTTCACCTCCTAAGATCCAATAACGAGATTTTTGTACGCAAAGAGGAAATTCGCGGTCTTGTTCACGTACAGAAGCAAAAACAACGGTAATTCGACTGTATACACGATCTACTAGAACAGAAAACGGGAAATTTATTCAAGAAGAGAGATCTTGGAATCAGTTAATATTAACCATATCCTTGTTTTTATTTAAAATTTATTAAAAAATTCTGCAATCCGAGCCTCTCAGTTTTGCTTGGATAGACCGAAGTGTGACATAACAACGAAGTAATCGTCGGAAACGTAACCCAGAACTCTGTAACAATGGACAGTTTCTACAGAGGAATTCGAAACTTTGTTACGTAACGCCTTGATTAGTGGCAAAAATTGGACTATTATTAATCTTGCAAATTGTAAATGTACGCGATCAGATCTGAAATTAAACGAGGAAATTAATTTCTGAATATAACGGTTGTAGTAGACGTTTTCATAAATTAAACACGAAAATTCCGTATAGCACAATCTAATACAAGCATAAATTATAAAATGAACTCATCATACAGGAAGTCGTCTGATGTGTTAACGAACCAACAACATCACGTCGTCTTCATAGATGCGATGCTCATCACGCATAGGATCATTACTTTATCGATACGACCAGCGAGAGACAAAGATTCATGACGTGTCGAAAAAGAGGTTGAAATACATTGTGTACTCGCGACTGTTAGCTTGGAGCGTGCCTCTACGAACTCGTGCTGCTGAAAACCGTCCAGGAGGTCATTATTTTGTTGACCTAACAATTACGCCCACTCATTACAAAAATTTTCAATTTTTTGGACTGCGTTCGTCTTTCTTTGTTTGAGAGTCCTTAAAGGAATAGAACAAACATGACATACGTAATATACTGAAGTTGTACATGCAACATTTAACACGTCGTGAGTAATTTTAAACATGTGTTTTTTTTTTTATTTTGATGATATCGATAAATGTAACTATTATCGTATTGGGTTAAGGTTATGCTATGTGAAATGTGTAATTTCACAAGTGAATATACTCTTTTAGGAATTAAGGTTTAAATCTAACCTCTGTTCATTCATTTCGGGACAGACAAAAATCTGCCAAATGTAATATAGACCTCGCATTACACTTCGCACGTTTGAAGATTACGCTCAACTTGTTGGCGGGGATGTATTAATATTGATAGGTACAATGTTACACTAACCGTAACGTAATTATGTTTCTATTTTTGACAATTACGTGACGCTGATTGAGATCTCTTCAACAATATATTTTGAACTGACATCAGTTGAAAGTAAAATAAGAAATAGATACATTTTTAATTGTTAATGATTTACCATCTTCACAATAATGTCTTGGAATTGTTATGTAATCAAGTGCAGTATTAATCAGAAATCATAAAATGACTTATTCCGGTATTAAAAAAATGTTGTAAATTCATATTATAGGATTTTATTAAATATCCGTAAGACTGTAGCTCGATTGAGGATGAAAATTCACTGAATTTTTGGTAGGTTAGTTCTGGAGAATTTGCGTAGGACTAATTACTATACTTTAAATTAGCGTAGCGTCAGTTATGGAAATAAACAGATTTTTATCACTCTGTACGTTACAGATAAATGTGTTTCTATGGAAACTTAATTCCATAAATACCAGCTTTATGCTGACAGAAATGAACAGTTGAACACATTTAGCACCTTCTAAATAAAAATTCAGCAACATTTTCTCTCATCAATAATATGAAGACAGAAAGAGCAAAATTTCACTCGAGGTAATTTCACGGTTAAATTTATAAAATAATACAATCAACAAAAAATTATTTTTTCAGATTTTAAATTAGCAAAGATTATTATGATGACAAGGCAAAGTAGTTCGTTCGAACTATATTCGGACGAAATAAATTTTGTTTTTTTCCATCAATTTTTAACTGGACATTGTTTTTAATTAATTAAATTGATTTCTCATTTTTTAAAGACAATCTATTAGTGGTGAGTCCTTGTTATTAAATGAAATATAAAATTGAGAAACATGTTGAGTTAAGTTGACGTCAATATTTGCTTTGAAAATGACAAATTACAGTCAATGAATAATCAATTACGCTCTTAAATTATCAGTTATTATACAATTAAAAATGTTTTGCAATATTAATCACGTTTATACCTCTAACCTACATACCACATTTACTAAAATGGGTCATCGCGTATTAGGTGTTGATACAATGTACATATTGGTTCATCGTTGTAATTAACAAAAATATGAATGCAATCCATTGATTAAAGTATACGTGACAGTGGAAAATTTATTTCCAGTGAGAAATTGAAACAAGAGTCGACCATAAAATCGAAACATCTTCTTTCTGTAAATTTTGGTTCTGTAAAGAGCTTCGAGAAATAATTTTTATCTATAAATTTGATTACATACTACGAGAAACTTAAAATAGTCCAAACCATCTCTGAATATTACCAACAATGTGATTCTCATTATTCTTTATATTAAAATACGACAGTTTAGGTAATAACGACAAAAAATAATCTTATTTTTGTTGTTAAAAAAGATAAAAATGCAACATCAAGTTATTTTGGCGGATTCCTTGCAGTGAAATAAAAAGTAACTGCATATAAGATTTACATAATGTTTAGTGCTGGTCATCCCAACAATGTTTTTAGTTTTTTTTGTGGAAATTTGTCGCTGTTGTTAAGAGGAGTCCCGACGTCTGGCGCATGAGACTTCCAACACATTTTCAGAATCTAATAATTTCATTATCATCAGATTTATTGTTATGATGACATTTTAAATATAACTTGTCTACAACTTGTGAGATATGTATAACACAAAAAGCAACTTTTTATTGATCATTTTCTTTTTAGCGTTTTGGTGAAATTTTTAATCGCGCATCTTTAAAAATTAGTGTATCATTATTTAAAAAAATTTCGGAACGCTGTTTTCGGTTTACAGAACTCTACACTACAAAAAAAAAGGCTGGGCTTAACATGGTTGTCTACATAGGTTAAACTGTGGCTGTTTATTATAACCTAAATTTTGTT